AATAACAATTTTTTTATATAAATTCATTATAATTATATAAATTAATTATAAAAAATTATATTTATTATATTTTTAATTTGTATATTTAAAATACAAATTTCTTCTTACAAATAAAATAAATAAAATTTTGAACGAACCTTTTCAATCCAATCATGTCCTAGTGGTAGAAGTAACTAAATCTTTTTGATGTCTTGTGTTCGAACCTTGGAGGGCGCAAAGCTAAAGAAAATTCTCCTTAAACTTTAAATCTTTTGGTTGAATTGTTTAATGATTTATATTGATTCAAATTAATTTGTCAATTTTAAATGATTTAACCTTTTTATCGACTCTAAACACTTACTATTCAACCTTTCTATCGATTTTAAAAACCTACTTGACTCATTTATGTTACTAAGTGTCGATCCCCTGATCCGATCTGATCTTTAAAACAATGATTAAAAGCGATGTCATACTTCCTCATAACCTTGAGTGCAAAGGGATGTTGATTATGGTAGAGAAAATAGAAGATATAACCGCGAGGATTATATGGGAAAGGTAGACAGTGATGGGATGTATCCGTAGGATTTTAATTTCAATCAAAAACATATGAGGGAAAGTGACCTTTATTAAGTCAAACTATCAAATTACTAGCCCACTGTGTAGCCATATCCTTTAATCAACTTTACGTGGATCAACAGTTTAATTACCATCAATAAAACCATTCTCGGTGCAAGCTGCTAAAGATGTAGAATATTAAAATTGGTATCAGAAGAAGATGCAATTTTAGTTTTATTAAAATTGGTATCAAAAGAAGATGCAATTTTAGTTTTAAAGGCTTACTGTACAGAAAATACATCCATTTAACTCCTCATTTCTTTCCTTGTGACTCAAGTAAAAGTACAATTACAATAGTTTTCCGAAAGAACTCACTGGTTGCGCAATAACCATCATATTTTCCAAGGAAATTCATGTGACTATAAAGTATAAACAGCAGCTCACCAAGTAAGCGGCCTCGGTAAGAGAACCTTGGCTGACCAGGTGACAGATGAACTTCAATCACTCTGCTTTTAAGGTTAAAATGGCATAATTGGCTGAATCTCTACAATAATTAACAATAAAATGAGGGATAAAAAGATACATGCCAATAAGGGTGAAAAGATTAAGCAAAGATATAGCATGCCTTTAATTAAAGGAGTGCCCAAGCTGTCAAACTTACATGAAACAAACGAAGGTTAAGTTGTTTCTATTTTTTTTTTTTATAAGCTTGTTAGTTTCTACATTTTTTGTTCTGATTATTACTATTGGTAGTTTGGTACTACTATTTTTCCTATTTTCTCTTAACGGAAAAAATAGATGACGGGCCGGAAAAAGATAGAGACAACAGAAAAAGAAAAGATAAATATAAAGACAATTTTGACTTGAATTATCCAAGAATGGTGCTTGATAGGATAGTTGGAAAACTGAGGTAAGATGGATCTATAAACTGCCTAAAAATATTAAAGCAGCACAGTATTTCTAGGAGCCCAACCAGGCAGGTAAGTGAAATTTAATTAATTTATATTATTTTTTTTAAGGAAAATGGCCAAATACATGCATATTGAATTATGGACATGTTTGGTATAACGGTTAAAATTCAACGGATAGTAGATAATGGGTAACGGATAGTGGATAGCGGTAGCAGGTAGCAATTAGCGGATAACGGATAACGGATAGCAAAAAGTGGGTAACGAATGATAAATAGCAGATTCGATAAATATAACTGTTTGGTTATATAATAGTTAGCAGTTGTTATTTAACATTAAATGACTAATAAGGACATGTTTAAAAATAAATAAGTGGATTTTTTAAATATTTTTATTTATTATTATTAAAATTATTTATTTTATAAAAATAATAATAAGAAAATAAATAAATAAAATTAATTATAATAATATAATTACAACTTTATTTTTATTTT